GGCTTCCTGCCTTCCCAACTCCTGGATCACAGTCTGAGTTCCGCAGGTGAGCCGCATCTCTCCCTGCCGGTGAAAGGCCAACAGCTCCTCCTCCTCCTCATCGCCGTGCGTTTTGTCCGTCAGGATGGTCTACACCGCCAATGTTTCAAGCGCCGCCCCTTCAGCCGCCTCGTGCACAGAACCAATCCGCCCCGCCGGCTCCGGCTTCTCTCGCCAATGGTAAACCGCAAACTTGAGTAATTCCTATTTTTCTTGTAATACTCGTCAGTTGTTCTTCAAATGTAAACGTGGGCGTAGCTACCGCAGGTGGATCCAGAAATATGTCTGCTTGGTTCAACCTGTTCGCGGACCTGGACCCGCTCTCCAACCCCGACGCCATCGGACGCTCCGCAGACGAGCTCCTCAACGCCTGAAACTGTGTAGGATGATATCGAGAACATCGATACACACACACACACACACACACACACAGACACAGACACACACACAGGAAATGACTGTTAAGGCACTAGAGTTGCAGAGGTGCGGAAAACGTCCAGTCAATTTCTGGGAAGTCTCGTAATTGTACATGAGAAATGAATGTGGGGAGTTTGGGGAATATTTAAAATCTGCCATGGGAATTATTGGCGTTAATGGGAATTGGGGGTAGTTTCATGGAAATGTGTCATATTCAAAGATTTTGCTTTCCCACAATCTATCATCCATGCATCATCTTTTTACATCATCGTTCTACTTGTTTCCGATCACTCACAGCTTGGAAAACTTCGAACTGAAGGTACCCCTTCTACTTGCATGAAATCTAGTTGCTTTACTCAAGTTTTTGCTTGGGTACATACTGTATTCAAATTCCCTTTGAAGAGACAGTCTTGGAGTTTGTAAACTCCTAATTTTAATTTCTTTCATTTTTTTTGGGGTAGGGGGGCAATTTTGAACCCTCACACTGCACATCATAGCCAAGTTTACATGGAGCCATGTACAGTAATCCGTCACTATAACACCGATAGCCAAGTTTACATGGAGCCATGTACAGTAATCCCCGCTATAACACGCTTTATCTTTCACGGCTTTGCTGGTTCATGGATGTTTTCGTGCATGTTTTATTTTGTTTATTTTTTTAACAGCACAGTGTGTTTTGCATCCTGAGGGACCGTAGGCCGATGTCAACAGCCTCATCGCTGTACAGCTTGCCAAATTTTCTCCATGACAAAACCCACAAAACGTTCTGTACAGTATTTCTAAAAAGTGTCAGTTGTGTATAAACATACACACACCTTTTAATGCTGGGGCCTGAAAAAAGGTTGAATCTTGGGTTTCAGTCAATACAATATTGTATTGTATACGTAATAATTGTAAAAAATAAAGAAGACAACTTGACGGATTTCACTTACCACAGGTTCTTTTTGGAACGTAACCACCGCGACCAACGAAGGATTACTGTATTCCGATCAGAATGTATCCAAATGACCAAATGTCATGAGAACTTGTTAATCAAGATGTTGCTTGGATTCAAGTGTTAAAACTAAAAACGACGACTAGACTAAAAAGACGAAATAACCCCATCTTGACAAATCACGCGTCGTTTACATCCATCTCCGCGTGTCGCACGGCTGATCCGATTTAACTGAGTGGAGCATGTAAACGGCTGATCGGAAAAAATCACGTCTCATGGAAACAGGAGACCAGAAATCTTCTTTAGGAATGATTTCACTCGGATTGACCAAAAAAACAAAAACAAATTGTATCACGTCTCATGGAAACAGGAGACCAGAAATCTTCCTTAGGAATGATTTCACTCGGATTGACCAAAAAAAGAAAATTGAAAACTGGGCTAATGTCACAGACTCTGTTGTTTTTTTCAGTATTCATTCTTCATCTTATGTCTGCAGGGTGCTGCTTTCATCCTGGATGCGTTTTGGGCTTTATCACATTCCAAAGAAGGACTTTATTACTTTATCACATTGCATTGTTCTGTTTGTTGTATACTTAATGGACGTATGTGTCGGTGATCACATTCCCAGAGCCGCTGGGAGCTCCATACAAGTCTGCATCTGCATCACAGGATCATGTGAAATGCATATCAAAATCATCTTTATTGACAGAGTGTGTTTAAGAACACACAACTGATTCGTAACAAACTGACAAGAACAGAAGAAATTTGATCCGACATTGCACCAACCAGATCATAACCAGCAGGAAGTGGACTCCTTATATGGTTTTGACGGTTCTCCACTAATGGCCGTTTTCAACGAATCATCCTTGCTGCTAAACATTGAATCAGTGATTGACATACAGTAAATCAAAAATATTTAGCACCAGTGGGTCATGGACTCCAGGCCAGTGTTGCTGACACCAGGAGCGCCACAAATAGATGTTTCGCTATGTATAGCGTTATGAATATTTTCCTGTATTGATTATACCCTTTTCTTGGATGATTTGCTTGAAAGGTTTGCCATCACACTACAGCCGCAATCCACTTCTTCTTTGGACTGAACCCTTTTTTTTTTTTTTAATGCAGATGGAAATGAATGGAATGAAAATTGCCGTCTTTCTGATCTTTCTGAATGCTGAGATTCTGATGTGATAGAACTGTATTGTGGAAAAAGAACATGTACATATTGTACATATTTTTTTTCACAAATTAGGAACAAAATCAGACAAGATTACAATTTAAAATTTGGAGGGGAAAAATATGACAGCAGTTATTTTGAGATGTGTATTCCTGACTGAGTGCATCTGTTGTGAAGGGTCTTATACAGTAGTCTATTATAATTGCTGTTGTTACTTCTGTATTTTGATTAATTTTCGCGTGATACATGGACTCTACTTTTTACTATATTTATCTTGAGCTTTAAAGAGTTTCAAAGTTATTTACTGACAGTCGTACTTACTATTTACTCTGTCACTTGCTGTCTACCGTTTACTCTTGAAGAATGTATTTATCGAACCACAATTGCTTCATTTCGTTTATTTTGTTTAACTTAAGAATTTACAAATGGAATCGGGTTACCAATAAAGAGGAGCAAAAAGTTTGTGCTTCTGTGATAAAAAGTTGACGATTTTGGTCATTGGAAGTGTGCTTTTTGCCACATGCAACGTGGCGGCCATGCTGACGTACTTTGTTTATTTCGGCCAATCGTACGCCTTAGGCGTTAACCAATCATACGAACCGTCGTGCGAAAACTGTTGCTGTGTGTTCAACGGCCTGTCGACTATGAATATATATCTCTATATATAGATATGTATATATCTATATATAGAGATCTATCTATGGGCACAAGTTTCTCTTAATTTAATCACAACAATAATATTTTGGTCAAAAGAGGCCAAACATGAGTGTTGTGGAAAAAAACCCGGAAACATTCAACATTTTTGGAACAAGACAATTTATTTCTTTGTTGATTAAAAAAAACTAACAGCAAAAACAAAAACAAAAAAAATCCAAATCAGGTCGCTCAACATTTAGTACAGTTCGTCCGCTACTCGTTCTCATCATTGAGTGTTGACGGCAAGGCTGCACGCGTTGCGGCTGGTTGCTTGGCGCGCTTTCTGTTCACGACAACCTGACATGGACGATGACATTGCCTATTCTTAATCTGACCCCCGTTTGATAAATAAATACATTACTCTTCACAATAATGATAACATGTAATTCACAGTACTCAGTGGCGCAATTAAGATAACGAGCGGCGTTGAATTTGTATCTGTCATGAGTGGCCGTTTACAATTGTTCACTCCAGTCTGATACGTGTCCGTTGTCAGCTCATACAATGCGGCATATATTTACATCCCGGTTCATTCCGATGGCACGTGGAGGGCTCAGGTGCTCTCGGGACATTATAAATAGCGTCGTAAGATCATCGGAAATTGGGTTCTTTGTGTGTTGTGCCTTTTTTTTGGGAGGGGGGTGGGGGCTGCAGCCATTTGCTGATGATGGCCAACCGTCCCAGGAGACATCCTGTCAATATCAGTTCATTGAGTCATTGCCATGGTAACCACTGCCATCATGCAGTGTGGGTGGACTCTTTGGACTCGGATGTCACGAGCAGAGAGAAATGGGCTGGAGGTAGGCAGGGAAAGTAGAGTTATAGCAAAAGTCTACACACCCCTGTTCAAAATCCAGCGTTCAGTGACGTTCAAAATTAGATCACGAAGGACCGTTTTGCAACCCCACCCCCCTCCCCTCAACTTGTACAACTCAATTGAAATCAAAATATTTTGGGGGAAGTGTAAGCTCAAGTTAAAATGTTTTTGCACAAGTGTATACGTGTACAACTGGGGATGTAGTTGATTTCATAATCAACTCAAACATTAAAACGCCTGTTCATTGGGAGTCAACACACACGTCACCATTTGAAGTGTCGCAAATACATTGAAGCTGTTCTAGTTGGCTTTCTACACGCCACCTGGAGGTTCTGTGCGAACACTGACCGCACCTTTGAACTGTTTGTAATTCCTTCTCAGGCCCCAGTCCCAGCTGAAGAAAAACAGTCCAAAGCATGATCGCGATTCTTCACAGTGAATATGCTGTCCTTTAAGTGATGAGCAATGCTGTGCGTAAGCCAAACATTTTTTCGCGAATGGTTTAAAATAGCAGTCAGTGTTATTCTACAACTAGAACAGCTGCAATTTGTTTGGGGTTCACCAGAGGCACTTGAAATGATGGGAGGTGAGCAGTGACTCCAATGCGATTGGTCAATTCTACACACAACCATATTTCAGTGATGGGGGTGTGCACACTTTTGCAACCCACATTGTCTCAGGTTTATTTTTAATCCGCCTTTGGAAAAAAATATCAATTGAGTTGCACAGGTTGTAGGTCAAATGAATGGGGTTATGGGTTTTGAAATAGTTTATCCCGGTCACCGTTATTTTCGAGCAGTTGTGTGTCTCGACTTTTTATATCCACTGTCAAGCCAGAAACGTGAAAAAGGAAGGGGTTGCACAGCTTTGAGTTACCTTTGGCCTTTAAATACAAATGTACAAATTTGGTTGGCAGCGCCCCTTCGTCTCTTGAAAGGAAAAGGTGGAGGCGCTACATCAGTTTTGGGAAATGGAGTACTGTCCTCGAAAATATCAGGCACGTTTTTTTTTTCTGTTTTTTTTTTTTTTACCCCTTCAAGTTTTGCTACAATCTGGCAGCACCGTGGCCTTTTGTAGCGGAAGGCATATCATATAGAAAGAACGAGAGATACAAAAAAAAGATATGTCTGTGGAAAGGCGTCATGGTATCACACGGTGAAAAAAAAAAATGGTTCTGCCCTTTTCCTTTCAAAACAAAAAGACAGCAATGAGAAGGTGAGGCAGTGGGAAGCGTCTTTTGAACAAAGACATCAGAGAGCGAGCATGCTGAAGGCCTTTTTTTTTTTTCTCCCCCCCCTTTCTTCTTCTTCTTGTCCTTTCTCGAGCTTGAAGGTGTTTAAGGTGCTCGTCAGAAGCTCTCCGGCTCCTCCAGGAGGCAGGGCTGGGTGGACAGAGGCACCAGCGACGGGGAATGACTGCGCAGGCCCACCCCGGGGCGAAAGTTAAGGTCCGGGGCCGGAAGCAGGGGCTTGAGGATGCTGACGAGGCAGAAGGCCGAGCCGCTGTTGGGGATGAAGTTGACCTTGTTGCGGTCGGGACACAGGAATGGGGGCACCTCCTGCAGGCTTTTGGGCCTGCAACAAACATGCATTCAGGTACAATTGATTCATCTGATGTTTGTCAGTCAATAAAAAACATAACCACAGACATGAAGTGGGAGTGATAACAACAAAATGATAACAAAAATGAATAGGCTGTTCCAAAAAAAAAAAAAAAATCAGTTAAGCATCTTGATTTAATACTACAAATCACTTTATATGGCGAGGGTGCAATAATTATTATGACCCAATGATTTTTTTTTTAGACCGATTCCAGAATATGACAGAATCAAATTCAGAGAACTGATTCATCAGGCAATTAATCATAAAAAATATATACATATATATTTGTCTACCTTCACAGAGAGAAAAATCGACTCATTCTTTGGGAGGAGATGTTTGAATGTCATTGTCTGCGTCTTATGTTGGATTGTGTTGATATGGGAAAAAAAAAAAAATGTAGGCCAATTTTAAAAGAACTATCGTCCATTTATTAAACTCGCCAGCCAATTAACGAACCAGGATTAATCATTTAGGTAGTTTTTCACAAAATGATGAAGAATACATGACTGCGGGTAATGTCTGCCTATACGTGCTGCTCCACCATTTGTGTTCAAATCTCTTATTGTTTTCATGCCGTGACTATTGATGCTAATTGTTAGCACAACTAAAGCGTTTTGTGTGTTGGAATGAAGCTAGCTTAGCTAAAATGGCATTTTTCTTTCCTTTATTTTTTTTTTCAAGTGGTGGGCCGTGAGATTTTTCTAATGTGTCTTTGTTTGATAAAGGTTAGGGAAATACCACCTTAGCATTTCTTGAGAGAAATGTGCGCTAGGTTTACCCAACTGTCCAGGAATGACACCGGGCCGTGAGATTTTTCTAATGTGTCTTTGTTTGATCAAGGTTAGGGAAATACCACCTTAGCATTTCTCGAGAATGTGTGCTAGGTTTACCCAACTGTCCAGGAATGACACAATTTTTATTTTGTGCATACATTATAGCTACCGTGCGACATGGCCACAAAATGTGTACCCACGTTATATATTGGGTTCACAATTGCATATTTTTTTCCTCCATGTGACAATGACCTCCATTCTCTCTCTCTCTCAGAAATAGAAAAGGGGAAGAAAAAAAAAAGTTTTGTACATACAGGGACTCCTCAGACACTTTGACTTTCTCGCAGCCCTCCGGAGGTTCTCTCTTGAACGTGTAACTGTTGTTGGGCCGCGGGGAGGCGGCGTATTTTGGCAGCGGCGAGTACGGGCCCAGCTCTGAAGACATACAGACACATTTAAGAAGGTTCAAGCTGAAAAAGGAAAGGATGGCAACTATTACTGTGACTTCAGCAGCGGATTTGAATGAGTACTTTTACCAGTGACTTTTTACACAAGTAACTGTACTTCGACTAAAGTAGACAAAGCGTGAGTACTTTTGCATCTGCGCGTGTCATCACCTTTGTCGTCAAAGGGGCTGCCGCCGCCGACCGCGTCGTTGAGGACGGTGAGGTAGGACGGCGAGATGGAGGCGGGGGGGG